TCACTTTTAATATGATATTAAATACTATATTATAAATTATATTTAAAATTGCATATACATTAAAGTATATGTATTGTGTATGTGTGTATATAGATAGATCAATAGAGACAGAGAGAGAAACAGAGAAACAGAAAGAAAAGGGGGGGGAGAGAGAGAGAGAGAGAGAGAGAGAGAGAGAGAGAGAGAGAGAGATGAGAACCACAGAAAAGAGTCCATAAATTTTTTAAGATAGGATATGGAAAGGTCCAAAGAAGAAAAAACATTTGAACAGTGCCTTGAAGAATGAATAGAATTTTATAAGGCAGATGAAAGGAAGTAGAATTTAAGGCAGAAGGGAAAGCATTATTAGCAACATATAACTATGAAAAAATTGATGGTATGTTAGAAAACCATAACCGGTTTTGTTACATGGGAAAAATGGGATACATCTTTGGTAGAAGGTAAGTGAGATGAGAGAATTAAGAAGTTCATCTCATCGAAGGCCTTTATCTCAAGCTATTGGGTATGATTTAGTAACATTTTTACAGAATGCTTATGTCCACAAGAAATTATAGTTGTTTTGTGAAATATACAAGAGTCTTTCAGTAAATAAATGTGAGAATTGATATATATCACATGGTATACACTTCCATGGAGATTTGCAATATACAAAAATGTCTGGTAGTAGAAACAATAAAATAATGTCTTTAATCTTGTTTCACAAATACTTGAAGATTGACATCTTCCTCTCACTTCACAAACTGAAAATCAATTAACATCGCTGAGAACATATTTCAGAAAACTTTCTAAAGGCATCAATATGATTAGATATGTGTCAGCAAAAGGTGAGTGTTGGTTGTGTGGAGAAAATATTAGAGCAGCAACAGAAAAGGCTGGGTGATCTAGAGATGATGATGGTTTGAGAAAACAAAGCAAAACAAACTAGGGAGAAGTTGCTGTATTTTGAGAGCGCTTTTGAAAAAAATATGTATGACTAGAGGTGTGAGACTAAAGAAGAAGGAAGAGTCATGCCTATAAGTTTGGCTTAAATATGAAAACACCATGCAAATGAACACTCAAGGTGATTCCTGGGCATTTCAAAAGACTTCTTTCTGCCCATCTTTAATGATATTCAGAAGTTTCATAAAGAAGAAAGTGTGTTTCCATCTACCTAGTAACTTTATTTTTAGAAGAAGCATATTATCTTTGATAACCAGAGTTCTAGAGACAAAGTTGAACCAACTGATTGGGCTTGTGGAATCCAGGATAAAGAATGTGCTGTTAAGGCGCCACACCTGGGTTGCTCTCCAAGGTGCTGAATCAATTTGTCTGGTTATGTGAACGTGTCTGCTTCTGGTGTCTTTCTGCCCCTGAATGTGTCAAACTCAGCTGCTTTATAGAGTAGCAGCCGTGTCCCAGATTGATATCGCAAGACATAATTTAACTAGCATGTTGGTTTACTGCCCTTGCCAGGACTAGCTGACTGACTTTTGATCAAGACAACAGCCTGATTTCTCATCTGGACTCCTGGCAGAGCAGCCACAAGCTGCAGGCTGTGTCCGCAGAGGTTAAAAACATCCTGACAGGTAGGTAAATATTTCCTCTTGAAAGAAAATTGACCAGCCAAGGAAGCAGATAATTTGTTATTGTGGATGGTTGGTGAGCTTTAGAAATTAATTCTCAGGGTTTGATTTAAGAATATCAGGTCTCAGGAGCCTGAAGTTTCCCCTTGGCAGGCAGCCTCTTGGCCACTGGCCTATATTGAGCTTACCCTTCTAAGCGACACACTCTGTTCCCCAAGGAACTCAAAATCTAGTGAAAAAAAAAAAACACTTATTTCAAGTGCTATAAAGTGACCTGTATTTAGTATCAAATAAATTAAATGCATTAGGGACCCAGAAAAGGAAGGATTAGCATGGGCTAGGTTAGTTAGGGAAAGCTTCACAAAGGAGGTGGAGAATGACCTGGGCCTTGATGTACACAAATAGTCTTCAGATGGTCCTAAATAAAGAAGGTGTGCATTAATGACAGCACCATAGTGGTGAAATGCCCATGACACCTCTGAGAGATAATACTCACCTGGTTTAGCCCAGGTGAGTATTATCTACGAATGGTCTAGCATATCCTCCCCACTCACAATCACATAGAACCCCACTGCTCCTGTACCTTTCCCCACAGTGATTTTACTATTTGTCTCGTATAAAATAAATAAATATCTTTTCAAATATATTGACATTTGGAAGAAAACAATTTGATGGCTTCGCCCAGTGCATTTGATATTTTCTAGAGACATGTTCTTCAAGGTGTAGGGAGCCTCTTAAAACTTCTGTTCCCCAAATCACAGCACTAACAACTTCACCTCTTGGTTGGCTTAAGAATGGTGAATAAAACATAGCCCCCATCTTGAAACAAAGCGTGCCATCGTGAAAACAAAGAACATTTAAAAATACACACAAAATGCAGACAGAAAAAAGAATCTGGAAATGTGAGGTTTGACACGGGAAACTGGAAGATTTCATAGAAAAACATTTATTTATTTTTTTCTGAGACAGTCTCCCTCTTGTCACCCAGGCTGGAGTGCAATGGCACAATCTCAGCTCACTGCAATCACTGCCTCCTGGGTTCAAGAGATTCTCCTGCCTCAGCCTCCGGAGTAGCTGGAATTACAGGTGTGCACCACCATGCCCAGCTAATTTTTGTATTTTTAGTGAAGATGTTGGCCATACTGGTCTTGAACTCCTGACCTCAGGTGATCCACCCACCTCAGCCTTCCAAAGTGCTAGGATTACAGGAATGAGTCACCACACCCTGCCAAGAAAAGATGTTCTTAAATTGGTTTTCAAAAACTGTCTCCAAAGACACTCTTTTAAAATTAAATTCAGATATTTACCTAAAATCCTACATAGCACAATTTCAAATGGCAATCTGATGGAGGTATTTTGCAGAAAACATCCATTTCCAACAGTTCTAGAATTTTCAGACTTTTGTGTAAGAGCAAAAGGTAAGGAAATAACTAGAGCATCACAGACACAGCCTCAGGAACCTGATGAGACCAGCACAGAAAATCTCCCCTCTTTAGAGTTTGACTTCCGAGCAGAAGCAGACAGAATGACCAAGAACTTTATTTATGATGTAAAAGGTACCATAAAGGTGAAGTCGGCATGGTATTAGGCCAGTCTGCACCAAGATTTAGGTATTAGATGGATTAATGTATTTAATGAATATGAATAGCTTAAATTATTAATACAATTCAGTATTATTTAATCAGTCACTTAAGTTGTGATGGCCAAATATAACATAGACCTTTCAAAGAGCAAACACCTGGACATTCTATCTACATGTGGATAAGCCAAAAGGCGAAATCAGGTGTGAATACAGACAGCAAATATTCACCAGGTTTCATGAATGTGGCCAGGTGAGCTCCTCATCCTCATCCTTTCAACAGAACCCTGAATAACAGCCAACTTTCTGGCTGGTAGGAAGACTATTCTGAATTGTACCTCCCTCAGTTCTTCACTATCTGCATTCCTCTTGACAGTTACACATATTCTCTCTTCCTAATGTTTTCATAACTTTGATACTCAACACTAATTCAATTAGGTACACACACACACACTCTTCAGGGCCCCTTTTCCTTCTCTCTCCTTCTAGCTTTTGTCTCCTTAAATTTGAGCACTTGTTCATTTACAGAAAAATTCCCATTTTCATTTATTTCCCATTGTGGCACAAATAATCCTAACAATTGTGCCTTTTTTTTTTTTTTTTTTTTGCATAGAGCATCATGTAAGGTCTCTTTTGGGAATTCTGAGCCATGGAGAGTATACACAATCAGGTCTCAGGTGATCAGCTTCAGAAGTGCAGGGATTAAAAGTAGTGTTCTAGGAAACCCTCAAAGTTGAATAGTTAAAAAAATTATTTCAGGGCTTACATTGTCTGAAAAATGTAGTTAACATAAAATGTGTTATTTGCTGATCTTGCCAAACCCATAAAGTACTCCTGCACTCAAAAGAAAGAAAAAAAGATCACTTATTAGCGTTTCTTAGCATCTCTGGGCACATAGGGCTCATGCATCTCTAGATATCAATTATGTCTCTGTTCATTTTCTGCCCTTTTGTCATTTTCTGCCATTGGCTGTTATTTAGGTTTCTCTTGCTGAAATGAACAAAAGACAGCTGGTATCAAGAGTAGCACATTTTGGGTATTACTTTTTTTTTTTCTTTTTAGAAATTCAGGTGTAGAGATGTGAAGGGAGGCTAGTGTGATTTTCTCAGAGTAAGTGTCTAGCAAACATCTACATAGACGAATCAGCATGTGCTTATCACCCACTCAACCCTGAGCATCATATAAAATAGAGGAGAATTTTTAAGTATATGTACCAAACTTTAATTTTCATTTCGCACTCAAACCTCCTGTATAAAAAAGGCAAAGCAGGCAAAAAAAAAGTACAATGACTTCATATGAAAACTTCAAAACAGCTTTGGGTCTGTAATGGCCTTTATAGATGTAGTGAGTAAACTGGGTTCCAAGGTTTTGGACTTTTTAAGACAAAATTCCAATGTTTATTACCAAAATTAAAAAAAAAATTTGTAGCTGTATAGGATACAAGATTGAATGAGAAATCTCTGAGTTCTACGGTACAATTGGATGCCAAGATTGGGAGGCTTAATTTTTCTTTGCAGAAAACATAAAATTATTTTTACTTAACTGTGATGATGCATCGGTAACCTCAGTTTACCATTAATGTCATAATTTAACGGTGATAACTAGGAACAAATGTTGATGAAGCATGATATTAACTAATAGTTAAAAGATAATATCCAAACCTTTCTTTCTGGTTGTTAATATTCTACCCCAAAGGTCAGCACATTTGAAGACATCCATTTCCAGTTGTTTCTTCTTTTTTAAGACTAATTCCTAGTGGTGCACAAAGAGTTTCTGAGAACAGTCATAACGCCAAAGTGGCAGTGCATTTGAGAAACATAATTTTTACCTCATTGCTTTCCCCAAAATAAATATCTCAGTCATGGAAAACACTGTTTATTTGAAAACGATGAGACCTCAAATATGAAATATAGTTAACAATGACATTGACATTGTTGCTATCACTTTCCCCTAAACCACCCGTAAGTCTTGGACGCATGTGCATGCAGCACAGAAACAAAAACAAAAAACCAAATGCAACAATCCATGATTGTTCAATGACTCCTGATGCTGGGTGGACAGCCTGTTAAAAGAATTTGTCTCCCACAGGATCTCTGGAGTGAGCACAACGCCCATCACCTGTTAGTGATCACAGACATTCAGTTAACCTGTCCTTCCAGTAATCAGAGGCAACAATTCAGACCCTGGACTTCTCAGAATACATGTACTGCTGAATCTTGGCTTTAAAACAAGGTGGCCTGGCTAAATTGGGGCAGGCCAGCAGCCCCTTCCTTACATTTGGTCCCATTTGACAGAAAGTCTAACTTAAAGTTATAAATGTGCTCATCTATTTACTCTGAGATCAATCTAATTTGACAGGTAATCCCTAACATTTTCTCCTTTAGCCAGCTGAGAGGCAGCTGTGGTGGAGACACATGACATGGGTTCAAGCCCCTCGTGAGCCCTGTGGTAGTTGCCAAGTCTTTTCCTTTCTTTAAGCCTCAATATCCTCACCTGATAGAGGGGGAGAAATTGACCCAATGATGATTAACATCATGTAGTTCTGCATGTGAATTCTAGAAAACTGTTGCTCAAGCGTAACATGTGACACCAAATAGACTATCTCTTAAGATGAATACCTACCTCCTAAATTTCCTCACCTGGTGTAATCATATCTTCCAGCTTCCTCTAGGGTTTTAGAATCCTTAGGTTCAAAAAAGTCATGAAGGCCGTCTAGCATATTTGTATTCTGATGAGAGAACCTTCCTCCAAGCAGCTATACTTGTTCAACTTGAAAATCTCCAAGGAAAAGAGGCTTTTCCTTCTCTGTGGACTGATTTTATATACAGACCAAGGAATCTTTCCTTCCACTTGACTGAGCTCCCTTGCTAAAACAAAATAAGACCAGCATTTTTTCCCTTTTCTTGGAGGATCCAAAGAAAGATCAGCTGACCACCAAAGTCCAGAAAGCAATGGTATCATACAGCTCATTCCTGGGATGTCGCAAATAATGCCAAACTCTGATGTACTCAGACTCCACTTCTCAGATTATCATTTACTAAACGTCTGGGTGACTCCTTTTAGTGGAAACAGGCAAATAATAATATAGACCAGACTGAGGATTTACTTAGAAGGGTTGAATCCCATCCTATGGTATGTATTCACAGCCACATGGCATAAAAGAAAGAGCATGGAGTTAAGAGTGAAGCTTCCTGGGTTCTAGGCCCACATGGGAGCCAACCTGTACAACCACATCCTCTGGGTTTCATTTTTCCTTGGAAGGTCAGAATCAAAGCCTTTCATGATTCCATTCTGACTAAGCTCTGATCTACAGAGAGAATTACTGCAGGCTGCATAATATTGTTCCTCAATAAGACAAGGTGGGGCGATGATTACTGGATGTTTACTAAGGAAGAAGGGCGGAGTCAGTCATTTTTATTGGCTTTAACCTTACAGGGCTCTTGAAGATTGTTTTAATTGCCCATTTTAGAGAAAAGGAAGTTAAGACTCTGAGAGCTTAAACACGTTTCCCAAGATCACACTATGACTCCTTAGTAAGGCCAGGTCTCAATTCAGGTGCTCGCACCAGGGCTTTTACATTGCAACAAGCTAGCAACAGGTTTGGGGAAGAGCCATTTTTTAAAACCCAGAGAAACAAAATCATGGATATTTCCCCTAGTTTTCTGGTAACTAATGCAGTACCCTAGACCTCTGTTCTCATATGAATGAATGGTCTTCAGAGAACAGGGCTCCTATGAGGAGGGGCTGTGCACCCACCACTCTGCAGATAACTGGAAGGTTAGTCAATTTACAAATAACTTCAAAGCCAAAGCTCCATTTCCATAATCACTGTAGGCAGAGGGTTGAGGCAGAGATTGCTGTCCTGTTGCCTGAGTGCACCTCTGCGGACCTGTCCCCCACTTCTCAGACAACCTCCTGCATCAGTCTAGGGGAAAGAGCACATCTATCTATTTCTGTTGCTCTCCCACTAACTGATTAAAACACAGGCATTTTTATTTTCTTGTGAAATCAAAAGAGAACATTAGAAGGATATAAATCCAAACAGAAAGGGAATATGCTGATTAATAAAACACGTGCAAACAGAAAAGTTGCACGTGCAGATTGCAGTCTGAGGACAAAGGGGGTGTGTTGAATTCAAAACACTTGGGTTTAATTCTCCACATGCATTTTTCTTGGCTTCCCTTCTTCCTCTGTCAAGATAACAGTTGTGTTTCTTGTAGCTGAGCCGACACAGGAAATCAAATATTTTGTGTTTCTATAAACTATACTTCCCAGAGAGAAAACACGTCTAGAATTAAAATATTACCACAAACAATTAGGAATTTTTGATTGTTACAGGTGTTGTTAAAGGACTCCAGTGGCAAAGATCAAAGTCTCCAAAATTTGCCTTTGGAGAAGGGGGTTTCATTTCAGACATCAAAGGTAAGGCTCTCAAGTCAATTTATGCTCTGCTGGGTTGAGTCAGTCAGGATACAAATTAAGGTCCATATATTTCAGTGACAAGAAGGAAATGGTTATGTAAATACACAAGTATTAACATCAATCTGTATTAAATTATGTAAACATATACATCTTCTGAGGTCAGCACATAGATCCTCTTCTTTGAGCTGAGCTCTACTGAAGCATTGCTCGAATCTGTTTGGAAGTCGATTCATCATTCAAGTGCTTTGTAGTGAACCTAGATGGGGAATGGTAGAGGTTAGCGGCAAACAGTGCTCTGTGTCAGCTTCAGTCCTTCTTTACCTTGGGAAACACAATTGATATTTGAGCTTATTTCTTTAGACAAAGACCCACACTTCAGTGCTCACAGTCTTCTCAGACAGATTTAATATTTGATTCTTCCTTCCAAAGGAATTTTGTATTATGGTTATTAAACCAAGTAGATTTTTTTACATAATCAAATAATTACACAGAGGAGATATGAGCAGTCTCAGTTTCCAGGGAGGCAGACTTCACAGGATTGAGTGCAGAATCCTGAGTGAGCCCACCCCTGCTGACACAAATTTCAGAATAGGGATTTGCAAAGCTGCATTGCCCAGAACTTGAATGTTTATGGTTCTCCATTTTCCTGGCCATGCTGAATTAACCTCACTGCCACCACAAGGAGGCACAAACGCAGGTAAGCAAACCCACAAAAGTGGTGCAATCTGCAGCCTCCCAATAACTAGGAGTCGAATCATTTATGCTAAGGAAGGAAAAGAGAATTAACATGTAATAAAACTTTGGCCAGGTCCTGGATGCTCCATGTTAAGTTTCGTGTTACAATAATTCTGTAAAGGTGAGGTTATTCCCTTCATTTTATAGATGAGAAAACTGAGGTTCAGAGAGGTTAAATGACCGATTCCAGATCACAGGGTTACTGATTTGAGATTTGTGATGATTTCTGATTCAAACCTATATTTTGCTATCTGGAAAGCCTGTGCTCCTTTCAGGTCATTACATTGCCTTCAGAAGGCACAGATTCTAACAAATCAGATGGGACAGCGTTTTGCTTGCTTGAATGAAGCTGGAAAGCTCAACACATCCTGAAGTTAAAGCCTTCTTCCTGTGTATAGAGTCATCCTGGGGTGAAATGGACACCAGGAGAAAACGTTGGTCTTCCCATAGACTCTGAAAGGTTCTTATATTAATACTAAATCTCTTCTGAAGGATGATGACTTAGCAACTCAGTAAAACAGCATCAATCTCAGGTCTATTTTGTTCATTTTGTGTGTCTCAGTTTCTTCATTAAGTGGGGATAACAGATCAGCCTTACCTCTCTGACTTGTGATGATTAAATGAGACAATGTGATTAGAAGTGGAGTATAAAACTTGAGTGCTGTACATACGTAGAGCATTATTGATCCATCCCACTGAGACTTATTGAACACTTACTGCATGTACAACACTGAGTGGAACTCAGGGGAATCAAAGATGAATAAGACAACAGGGACCATAAACCTTCTAGATTGCAATCTAGTATCAGAATGATTTACACAGCAGTGTGATTCAACCAATTCTTACAGATGTGTCAGAGCTAAAAAATAATCCCCTCTCTGAAATGGATTAAGCACATGCATCCCTGGGAAGAAAGTAGCTGCCGAGGCATCACTTGTTAGCAGTGAGGAGCTGAAACATGCCACAGCTGGCCAAATATTTAGGCATCTAGACAGTGAGTTCTCAATTCTGGTGGCTGCACATGTGAACCACCTGGGGAGCTTTAGAACAGACAAAGAAACAAAATGGATAACTGAGCCCCTAGCCCAGAGATTCCAATTCATTAAGTCTGAGTCACATGCAGTGTTTTCAAAAGATACCCACACAATCCTCAAGGGCGGCCGGGTTTGGGAACCACTGGTAAAGGGGAAAGTGAGAGCCTGGAAGCCTCTTGTTCTGAGGAGTTCCTATAAGCCCCAAAGTAATGTGGCTGAGAATTAGGTCCATGACCGTGAGGTCACCCATACCTGGGTGTAGGTCCTACCTTGTCCATTTACTGTGTGACTTTTGGCAAGTTATTTGACTTCCCTAAATCTCAATTTTTTCCATCTTTAGAAAGGGGATGATAAAAATGGTGCTGACCTCAAAAGATTGTTAGGAATATTTCAATGTGTTAAAATATGCAAGGGTTAAGTTTGGTGCTATCCACAACAGTATTTACATTTGCAATAGCCCTGAAGGGTTGGCTGTTCCCTGGGAGCCTAACAAAGAGCTGAAGCTCACCTGAGGGCATTCAGCAGCCCCTCCACGCTGTCTGGGGCCTGCTCCTTCAACACCTTTATGCAGCCTTTCATCTGGGGGGAGAAAGCACAATGTTTGTTAATATCTTAGTAATACCATCCATGCTAATATCTACCCATAATAACACCTATCCATAATGTCAGATTCTTTCTTCCCAGAGAACTCCAACACAGAAATGGCCAACAGGCTTTCCTACCCCCTCAGGCTGATAAGTTGTTTCTCTGGGCTTCTAGAATATTCTGTATGATTGCAATCATTATCAGTTTTCATACTATATTGCAATTGTACATTTCACTTTCCTGGCTTTAAGCACAAAGACTTGAGACTTTGTTCCTCTTGCCTTGTACTATGGAGCCAAATGCACGGCCTTCCATCTACTCAGTGCTCAGCTGAGATTTACCGAATAATTTTATGCCATTCTTCTGCCCTGCATGTTTTCTGTTCTTGAGCTATTTGACTGGCAAATCCTTAACAATTATTTTAGACCCAGCTGAAGATCAGCACCTCCTGGAATCCTATTCTGACCTCTCTACCTTCATTAGATAGAAGTAACCAACAGCTTTCTGCGCCCCCAGGACTACTCTACCATTTAGTAGAGGCACTGGGGAGTTTAGTGCCCATGACCGTGAGGTCACCCACACCTGGGTGTAGGTCCTACCTTGTCCATTTACTGTGTGACTTTTGGCAAGTTATTTGACTTCCCTAAATCTCAATTTTTCCTTCCCTAGACCAGGAGCTCCTGGAGGAGCAGGTCTATGTCTCCATCATCTTTGAGAGGACTGATGAAGGGCCACCGTCCAGTATGTGAACTTCACGGAGGCTAAATGTCTGAGTTCCCTTCATGCTTGTTTGTTTAGTGTCTTCACAAACCTAGGTAAGTGCCTTAGCTTTTTGTATCCATATAATACAGTTGACACATAATTTGGGGAGTGCATGGAAACTGAATTTATATTGCTCACGTTACAGTATGCATATCTTGGAGTGTTTTTTGGCAAACCAAGAATCTTTCTGCAAATAACATAATCACCCATTTTAAACCCAGCTATTCACATGCTGTTATATATTGGATTTTGTTATATGAAGGGCCCCTTTTATAACGGCCCTTAGAAACATTTTCTGTCATTGTGCTTCTTGTACATCAAAAGTTTTGTTTTACAAGCCCGATAGACCCTGATAGACTGATGGAGGCCGCCAGAGTGTGGGTCTCACTATAAGCGCATCAAGAAAGAATGTCATGGCCAATTACAGATGTCTGTCATGCGTGCTGGATTGGGAGAAGCTACAAGCATGCCAAGTATCTGCCACCCCAGGCCGAGGATGGCATCGGGCCCAGGGATGCAGGGATTCTGTCCCTCTCCCATAGTTCATTATCCTAGTGTGGAAGTGTTCTTATGAACCAAGCCTAAGAAGCAGTGATAACACAGATGTGGAAAGAGGTGGAAGGGCAGGGAATGCTGTTTGGGAATTCTGAGTTCCACTTAGGGCAATTAAAGCTGTAGGTGTGAATAATAAGATGCTTCCCAGGATGCGGCTAGGGCCAGATGCAATGTGAATTCAACAGCATGTTCAGGAGTTGGGGGCCTTTAAGTGTAGAAACCATCCTTAACAGGTGTCAAATAATCCAGCAATGCGGTTAATATAAAAAGGGACCAGAAAGAAGCAAGAACAGAGAAAGCAGAACCAGTGAGAGCCTCTGCGGGTGTGAAGTGTGGGAGCAGCAGTGGGCATGGAGGAACAGGGAGAGATGGGGACTAATCTGAGGCCAACTCCATAGGATGTCGCTACTGATAAAATATGGGGTAAAGAAGCCATTCCTTGTTCTCAGGGACAAATCTAGGCTCTGCCTTAGAGACTGGTTGAAGGACGATAAAATGCCTGAGACAGGAACCCAGGAGAAGGAACAGGTTTGTGGGGAGAGGGGAACCTTTTGTTTGGGGTGGCCATATTTCACTTTCTTAGAGGCACATGCAAACAACCATATGAACAAGACTTATGTAGTGAGAACTCCATGGACAAAAGGAAACATCAAGCCTATGTGAGAAGACTTAACATGATATACTGATTACAGCCTCAACCAAAAGACTCAGTAAATAACATAGAAAGCCAAGCTTTTTAAACATTAGGGCTACAAGGAATAATTTTACCCAGTGTATGTTTAACTGTTGACTTTGTGACAAGTTGACAAATGGCTATGGTAATGAGAATGTCTCATGAGTTCTGGGTAATGAACTCAATCCATAGTCAAATAATATTTATAGAGTTATTTATACTCAATCTATAGTATGAAAACGTTAAAGCCTCACAAAGGATACAGTAAAAATATTTATTGGTATAAAAATGACATAATATACTTTTATGTAAAAGAAATATGTTTCAAAAAGCTTGTAAAGCAGGCTCCTAATTTATTAAGGACACCCACACACACGTCCACACAAGCATCTACACAAAAAGAAGGTACACATGTATGCTGCTGTATGAACGGTGGTCCTCTGCCTACAGTGAGGTTATTAAAGATACATTTAATTTTCTATATCTTCATTTCTTACATGCCAAAAGAAATTTTTTTTGACATGGAGTCTCACTCTGTCACCCAGGCTGGAGTGCAATGGCATGGTCTCAGCTCACTGCAACCTCTGCCTCCCAGGTTCAAGCAATTCTCCTGCTTCAGCCTCCCATACCTGGCTAATTTTTGTATTTTTAGTAGGGATGGGTTTCACTATTTTGGCCAGGCTGGTCTTGAACTCCTAACCTCATGATCTGCCTGCCTTGGCCTCCCAAAGTGCTGGGATTACAGGCGTGAGCCACTGTGCCCGAGCAAAAAGTTTTTAACATAAATATTTATTTTCTTGGTAAAAAGAAATAATTACATTAAAAGTAATAAAGATTCTAGGAAGAAACATACCTAACTATGCTACAAACCCAGAGCCTCAAAATGAGTAATAAAAGTTACATTTTTTTATTGATACATTATCTAGTATTCTTTAGACTTATGGCCCTCCTGGGCATGTAGACTTTCTCTTGCATAAGGCCAAAGCGTCAGGACACTGTTCTCTGCAGATGAGTGAACACATTGCATAAGGCCAAAGCGTCAGGACACTGTTCTCTGCAGATGAGTGAACACATTGCATAAGGACAAAGCGTCAGGACACTGTTCTCTGCAGATGAGTGAACACAGTGTGCCACCCAGACTCAGCTACACTGGAGTACGTTACTACCAAGAGGTCCTATTCTGAACATTAAAGGCTTTAAACGAATACATGGGATACGCTATTGAGTTGGTGCTGCAGACAAGTGCTCGATGGAGAAGAGATGTGCTTTATCCCACAGTCAACAGGAAAAGCACCAGCACACTGAAATCTTGTGTTTCCAATTATCTTTATTCATTCATTCATTCATTTACTCATTCATCCATCCATCCATCAAAACTCCTACAGGGCATCTGTTGAGTGCCACTCACTATGTGCAAGGCAGTAGAGCAGACATTAGGCATAGAGATTATGGGCTCTGTCCTTGTCAAGAAACTGCGCAGGAGTCAGAAAATACAAAATGGTGAGTGCTCTGGGGACCAGAGGAGCAGGAGGGCTCATCCCATGCAGAAAATGTATTCTTAGATGAATTGATGTTTGAAGCATGTCTGAAAGAAATACACCCATCAGAGAGGAAGAGGAAGGATCTCTGGGCAGGAGAAAGTACTCACACATATCCAAATGACGAGGAACAGCATGGGGCTTGAGTGGAGCAACAGGTAGGGAGCGGTGGGAGAGGAAGTGAAAGGGTCATTTGGGATTTGACCATGGTGTCTTATAAGGCAGTATCTCCCAACTCTTCAAAATAGGAAATGTATAGAATAGAAACCATCTATTTGTATGGCATATTGGGTAAATGAAGGGACAGCATGTAGCTAAGTGATTGTCCATCTGCTCAGCTCCATTAGAGGCTGAGGGAATCAATGTCGCAGCATTGCTGCTATGCTTTTGAGGTTGCATGTTTTGTCCTAAGCACATAAAAAAAGCCTGGACATCTTACTGTGAGGACAGCAGCTAGGATGGGCTGTGTGTCTTAGAAAGATCACTCTCCGTGGAGTGGTCTTGAGGAGCCTGAGGAAGAGAAAGAAAGTCTGTTTGGCAATCTTCATGGGCCTTATTTGGAAAGCACATTTCACAGCTGTTCTTACATCGATCTTGGACGTCTTGCAGAAAGCTCCCACAGGGTGGACATGATCATAGAGGATGATGACTCCCACCATCACCCTCATGCAGAACATCAGGGTCTCTTCACTAGTAAACCTGCTTTTGTACTCCCTGCAAGAGAAGAAACAGCAGCAGCGTCACTTCCTTGTCAGAGCATGTGATTTCTCCGGCCCCAAAACTGGCTACTTTAGATGCCTCTAATCCTCTCTTGAGAACAATCCCAGACCTGCAACAACCAGTTAATATGCTCCTGAGGAAATCCATGATGATAATTCTCCTTGAATCTATTCAACCAGCAATTCAGTGTTAAAATAAGGTAAATTAAAGGGCAGTAAATTCCTTTCTCATTTGCCCTTCAGCGGACTAGCTCATCATGTACATCACTCTCCCACCCATCAATCTTGGATATTTTATAGCAGGTCCTTCTGGCTGTCCAAGATTATAGAGAGTGATAGCATCATTACAGAGAAAAAGAATCAGGTTCATTTCTACAGAGCAGCTATTGTGTCTCCAGTCAGAGTAACTTTCTTTGTTAAGAAACAGGCTGCAGATATATTGGATTGGCAAAAATACCTAAATAAAATATGTATCATTCATAAATATATATCATTCATTGATACCAAGAGTATTTGTAGAGTTTGAATTTTGTCCACTTACCTTGACAGGGTCCCTGATAATTCAGGCCAATTCTAGAGGCTTTCTTAGCATCTATTTCATTATAAATTGGCTCCGCAATGAAAATGGTTACTATTTCTGCCTTGGAATAAATCTTAACTCTGGTACAAGTGAAATATTTGAAATTAATGCTATCTTACATTTGAACAAGCTATCAGATTTTATAAGGCACTCTTGATGCCTTTGGTCTTCCTAAAGACTGCAAAGTAGACAGCCTTATGGGAACTTCATTGAATGAGGAAACCGAGGCTCAGGAAGTCAGGCTGGTTATCTACGTGCACAGCAGGGGCTGCAGATATAAGTGGAGCTCAGAATTTTGAGGACAGATTACCATGCTGCTTCATCCCCAACATTCTCAATAATTTTTAAATCTAATAAGTAGTAACTAGTTTAGGTATCAAAAAAAAAAAAAAAAACTGCAGAGAGAGAGAGAGAGAGACCTCCATTCTCAGTCTTGAAACAGTCTTATCATGTAAGCCCTTGGTTTTACATCTTCTCTACAATGTATTTATCATGATACTCCATCATTTAACACACCCTCCATTTGGTTCCTACACATCTTCTACAGCATCTTTGATCTGAGTCTTTGATCTGATCAAAGACTACCTAACAAGCTATGCAGTCTTTGGGAAGTCGGTCAACCAGTTTGGGTCTCAGTTTTTTCAGCTATGAAATAGGGATAGTGACAGCTGCTACCCAGAGTTCCTAATGAGATTAAAGCAGATGATATTCATGAAAGCCTGAGAGTATTGACCCAAATGGTACACGCCATTAACATCTTCATTGTAACAGACATTGGCTGGGTGGAGTCTCAACCAAGAATACACCTCTGATTTAACTTACGGAGTTTCCAGCATGACTTTACAGACACTTGTCATGGTGCTGAGGCAGTCTGTGGTGTTCTCTATTGGCAGGGTTTTGTTCTAAATGGGAGACATAAATGTGCGTTAGCGCTGATTGCAGCTCTTCTGTGCAGTTAAGAAGAAAAGCACCTCGTTTCTCAGCTTCACTTACTTCCGAGACAAAGTGCATTGTGGCGTTGCTAAGGGTTTTCAGCATTGGTGTGGCTTCTGCATAGAAGAGGGACATTCGATTGGCCATCTCGTTATTAACTTCATTCTCAATGTCTAGCTGATGAAAACAAGAAGAGAAGATGCATTTATAAAGAGAAACTCAAACTCTCCAAATACTCTCCTCTGGAACTGCATTACAGACAAGGACATTTGTCTTCTCTCTGGGTTCTGCCTGATGCAGAAATCAAAAGAGCCATAGAGAAGGGTGCAAAGGTCAAGGCGACCCAGGGACTCACATGCATGTTGTTGATGCGGTTGCGACTGATTGTTCTCCTGTAGTAGCTGAAGTCATTCTGAATAGCTGGGTTCCTCATCTGAAATTCAAAAGAGAGGAGCGAAGGTCATCTCTGAGTATCAGATGGGGGATGTGCATCAGGAGCTCAGACACTAGGTTTTATAAATATTCCAGGGCTTCTCTTTGTTACATAAGAGTCAAAGCAACCTCTGGTTAAAAATGAGGACCCACAGCTTCATTATTTTGAAATATGCCCTGTGGGCTAGATTTCAGGGAAAGTATATTTGGTTTCAATGTGGAACAGATACTTGAAAAGGTTTTCTCTGATTTCATTTGGCAGATTTAAAATTTCCATATACAAATCATTATCTTAAATTACTTTCGCCACATGGAATGCAAGTTCTCACCACATTATATGTCTCTCTAGGAGAAGTTACATCCTACTCATTTATCCACCCACCCACCCCACAGCACTAACAGAACAGCTGTAAACAGTAAGTACTCAATACAAGCTCATTAAATTTTCACAGCACATTTGGCCTAACCTTCAGCTCGTCGAATCGAAGGGTAAAATGTAAAATTTCAGCAAACTCCTTTGCCAGGGCCTGCTCCCTTTCCAGGTGTTGGGTTGGTGTGTAGGGTGGACAAGTTAGAGATTCCAGTAAACTCTGAAGAGCTTTTTCTGAAAATCAAAGGGATAAATATATTGGAAGTGGCCCACAGAGATCCTTCAAAGAACACAGTTCCCAGCCTCAGCTGACAATCTCCGACACCACCTGCTTGAGTCTTTCCCAGTAACTACGTGTGGTGTGCTGCGCGTGGACCAGAAAGAGAAGGAATCCCACATGGCTGGGCAGGCTGCCTCCCCTGTAGAAAACCCCCATGACCACAGTGTTTTGTAAATGTGTCTCTAAGCTCAGATGGACCTGGACATATTTAGGGATCCCAATTTCTGACACCATTAGAATACTGCAAATATGTGTTTTGGGGTCATGTGCATGAGACAGTCATTCCTGATTCAGGATGAGATGAGACAGTACCCTAAACACATAGGTTAGATGACTGGCTTTGCAGGGAAAGACCTCTGCTCCTATTTGACTTTTCTCTGCATCCACACACAAACCTAATCCCAGGAATAATTTTCTAGGAACCCATTGCCCTATCTACCTCCATTATTGTTCTTACAACAGATTGGCTACTCCCACTTGTCTGTTTCTAAATATTCCCTTATAGCTTGTTCTTCAATATATTCTAATAGCACGGAGTCGTTTAACCAATCCTCTATAGCAGGGAATGGCAAGGTATGGCCCATTGGCCAAATCTGGTCCGCTACTTTTGTTTTGTAAATACACCCAAGTTTTCTTAAAACACAGACATGCTCATTCTGTTATGTAATAATTAGGGCTGCCGTTGCATGAGAGAGGCAGAGGCGAGTAGTTGATAAAAAGACAGGATGGCCTATAAATCTAAAATATTTACAACTTGACCCTTTACAGAAAAGTTTGCACATATCTGCTCTATATAGTTCTTATATAACTTTTATAGCATCTCTACAAGGATGTCTCTGGCCTTTTTGAGATATTCATGCATAAGAATACACTCTCTTCTGAGAAGGCAGCCAGTTCTACCTTGGCCTGCTCTCAATGAGGAATTGTTTCCCCTCTTGCTGAGCTGAATTTTGGCTCCTCAGAATTTCCATTAACTGGGTCTACCCTTTGAGGAAACATAAAAATAAGTCTATGCTCTCTGCTCCTCTCTTCTGCTGGAGAGTCTTCAGAAACCCTCTCTTCTTGGAAAACTGGTTTGGTTCATTCAAATACTTCCCTAGGTCTTAACTTCTAGTCCTCTCAACATCATGGTCATTACTTTCCCAAGATATTTCAAGTTCTGTGTTTCCCTCTTAATCTGTGGTACTCATTTTACTCTATTAAATTTATCATTTGACTTCAGACAAGCAAGTTCTTTGTTGGGTGAGCAGATAACCTGTATCTTTCAACTTCTCTGTTATTCAGAATTGTGATCAGCTCACAGTAAAACTATTAAGAGTTGGACACAGAAGAGAACAGGATCAAGAATATACTCACTGGCAGAGACACACTAAAGGTACCAATAACTTCAGGGGAGGAAACTTTGTGGTGGATTGAAAGAAGTGAAAATGACAAGAGCTGTTCTTCATAAATGGCCTCTCATTTGACACAGTGGATGGATGTGGGACATTTTCCAATATGGTAAGCTGTTCCCACTACCTACTCAAACACCAAAACAGAACTCCATATGTGGGACATGAAAAGTACAAACACATACTCACCTAGTCTAATGGAAAACTCGTAAAATCTCTTTAGCCTTACAACAAGAGGACACACTGCATTCCAAGCTTTTTCTTGAAGTTGTATGTCATTGGGATTTTGAATTGCCTATAAAAACACAGTAGAGCTGTCTGTTTAAAAAGAAGCAGCAAGCCCCACATCAAAATACCCTAAGACTGAGAAATTTTAGTTAAAAATACAATCCCTGCTGTACTTTGCTGATGTATAATACTTACATCAATATTGGTTCATTGGACTGTCCCCCAAGATGCTCATTTTGAATGAAAATTTTAACACTTGAACATATAGCAAATGGCTCTACAATTAGATCTTGTGTCATCTTACTTGTTTCTGTTATCTTGAATACAAAAAATTCACATCTAATTGGAAGAAACTCAGTCTTTCCATCACCATTTGATTCTTCTAAAGTGGAATTAGTGCTCATTATAAAGTGCAAATTCTGTAGACATTTCCTTTCTCTTTAATAGGTACTGCATTCCTGCCAGTTTGTCGTGTTATCTAAATTATCTAAATTAAACGGTGACCCATAAGAAGAAAAACCACCTCTTGGTAGACTGTTACTTTCTTAGAAACTCTGCCTTGTCTGAGTTTCAGCAACTTGAGGATTATGATGGTGGTGGTGTTCTTTTCAGAAGGATGGGGGCAGTGGCAGTACTGTGTGTGTGTGTGTGTGTGTGTGTGTGTGTGTATGTGTGTGTATTTGCATGCATATATGTATGTGTTGATATTTCCACAAAACTAATGCTTTAATATAAAAAGAGTGCCAAATTTCTTGCTTTTAAGGCATTGTGAAGTTGTAAAAGTCCAAGTGGTGATTTTCTTTTTGTTTTTTGTTACTTTTAGAAAATCTCATAAAACATTTGAGATGACAAACTGAAGGCAAGGTGATTTTTTTGGCTGTTGTGTATAACACTGGTGCAACCTGCCTGAGTAACTACCAAACGCCGGAAAGTACATGTCCACCCAGACTTCATGATTCATATTTCAACTGCTATTCACAGACTTCACATTGTTTCCCTTAAATGAAGTAATATATTGACACATTATTGTTTAAATGTGAGACCTACAATATCACCTGTATGTTCGAGAAGAGAATAGTTAATATTTTACTCAATCTATAGCACTGTGTGCTCATACTAATGCATTAGAATAAAAGGGGCCATTCATGCATTTTTTTTTTTTTTTTTTTTTTTTTTTTTGAGGCAGAGTTTCACTCTTGTTGCCTGGGCTGGAGTGCAATGGCGCAACCTCGGCTCACTGCAACCTCTGCCTCCTGGGTTCAAGTGATTCTCCTGCCTCAGCCTCCCAGAGTAGCTGGGATTACAGGCACCTGCCATCACACCCAGCTATTTTTTATTCTTTTATTTTTAGTTGAGACAGGGTTTCACCATGTTGGCCAGGCTGGTCTTGAACTCCTGACCTCATGTGATCCACTCGCCTTGGCTTCCCAAAGTGCTGGAATTACAGGTGTGACCCACTGTGTCTGGCCCATGCTTTTTGTTTTTAAGGACACGTTACCCTCCTTGTACTTCTTCCTGGGACTCTAGGAAATACTATGGCCCTTCCTTAATCTTGCTGTGTGTGTGTGTGTGTGTGTGTGTGTGTGTGTGTGTGTGTGTTTGCGTGCACGCGCACACGCATGTGCGTGCACGTGTGGTTTTCCCTCTGCTCCTCGGGTGTTGTCAGTTCAGTGCGATGATTGGCATACATCTCGGATCTCTGGGCCTGCGCCTTTGTAAGCCTGCAGGTCTGCAAGGATGCTCTCAGAATCCTGAAGGACAGCGCTGATCTGGTTCCAGATTTCTCTCTCTCCTTCTGTAGGCTGAGCATCTAAGAAACAAAGAAACCGAGAGACACAGAGTGCTGGTGTTTACAAACAGCTTGGGATGAGGATGGATATTCAGTTCTACCTGCCTGACAATCCTATCACATTCCTACTGCTCTGGTATTTACTCTGTAACCTACTAAGCTGCTAGGATACTGGAAGGGCAAACTCACACAACTTCTGCTCATTACTCAGTTCAAAATAGTCAATGATATTTTTATAGTCATAAAATAAGCATACAGGAATCATTGTAGGCCTTATTTATTTATGTGGAACAAATCTTTTGCACACGTCCTATGTAAAACAGTGCCCTGGATGATAGAAAGAATAAACATTGTCTTTCTGAATCCACACTTTTTGGTCTTTTTATTTTATTTTTTTTAAATTACTATTTTTATTGCAGTTAAATACACATAAATTTCACCATCTTAACCACTTTTAAGTGTGCTGTTCATTGATATTAAATACATTCATAAGGTTGTACAACCATTGCTACCCTCCATATCTGTCACTCTTTTCATCTTGTAAAACTGAAACTCTATTGGGTCTGCCTTTTAAAGGATAAGCAACTGAATATTTCTGCTTTGATTGAAAATCTGTGAATCCTGTGAAAATCTGTGTAGATGGGAAAAACAGTCCACCTTATATTTCAATATTTAAAAATATGCTTAAAAACTGGATAACAAAAATACTTCAAATCATGACAGAAGCATATCACTCCTGAACACACGGATATGTAGAAAACATTTCTCATTAAACCTGAGCTCATGCTAACGAGGTTTGGCAAAGACGCGAGTTCATTTTAAAGACAACCGTTCTGTTTATCTTTGGTTTTGACCATGACTGCTACCCACAAAAACAAGTGACGCAGTGAGGCCTCCATAATGAAAACAATATTCTAACAGTCACAGCAGTACCCTCGAGCTCCTCAGTGAATTCTCACTTAATTACCTTCCTGCAGCCACTATGTGTTCTTGTTCCTGGGGGCATTTCATGGGAGCTGGTGGCTGGTGGTGGAGAGGTGGTAAAGGTTGGGTTTTATTTATCTGGTAATTCCTATATAACAGGTTATCTGCCTGGTCTAGTAGGGAAGTTCATCTCTCCATCTAAAACAAAGGCTCCGCTCATGGAGAGGAAACAGATGTCATTTTATAAAACTCTGTTTTTAAATATCCAGATCCTGAGACACCGTGTACTTGCAGCAGAACTCACTAACAGAGGGTGAGGGCTGAGTTTACACCTGGTCTAACCCTCCCAGATAAAATCTCAGTTTTACCTAATCTTTGTGGGAGTAAAAGGGGCTGATCCCGCAAAGGGGTTGTTCACCAGTGTTTCTCTGGGTGTTAAAAAAAAAAGACAGCATTCACAAGATAAGTGATGGCCAAGTGGAGCACTGGCTAAACTGACTTGGTGTTTGGAAAGGCTGAGATCAGAGGAGGAACTGAGGCAGGGTGGCTGCTCCTGCTTCAGTTACCTGCACTCTCCATGACAGGAACCCATGGAGATTTTTAGACTAGTTGATTTACCAGGTCTTGCCTAAGACCTGAGAAGCTAGTAGCGTTTCCTAATAAATGAAGGGTGAAAATCATCAGTGCTATGGCAATTCTCTTTGAGAAAAAGATCATAGGTCCTCACAGTTATCCGGAAACTTTGCAAACTGTACATTCAAAGAATGAGACCATTTCAACTAGGAACTAAGGAGGTATGAGAACGTATGTGAATCAGGACTCAGAGAAAGAGATGAATGCGGACTGGGAAGAGTGAAAAAGTTAAAACGTAAGGGATGGGGCTTGAGCTGGGGTGATGGAAGGTGAAAGGGAGTATATTCATGAAGAGAGTACAACTCGGAAAAAGGCTTGGCAGCTGGAGAAAGCAAGGCTGGGAAACAAACAAACAACCACATCTGCCAGGTTAGAAAACAGAGTCTGCTGGAGACAGTGAGGGAAAAAGACATTTATTACAGGTTGAGCTTCCTATATATCCAAGAATCTGAAATGCTCCAACATCTGAAATGTTTTTAAATGCCCACATGGTGCGCAAAGAAAATTCTCACTGGAGCACTTTGCATTTTGGCTTTTTGGATTTGGGATGCTCAACTGGAAAGTAAAATGCAACTATTTCAAAATCAGAAAAAAAAATCTGAAACACTTCTGGTCCTAATCAGCATTTTTGAATAAGGGATATTCAACCTGTACTTTCCTAGGTTTTTATGCACTATCAGTGTTTCCCACAATCATTGGTAAGTTTTCTCAGACTTGATGTTACTCACAATATTAACCACTTTGTATTTTACCTTTTTTCTCCTTTCTCATACTTTTCTCAAAGTGACACAAGTGTCTTAAACAGAACCCTAAAAATCCGCAAGCTAGGGAGCCCATCAGTGCAGAAAGCGTTTCGGTGGAATAGAATTCCAGGGTGAGGCTGGCAGTTTCTGAGTAAGAAAAGTGTCGGGGAAGAAAACATAAGAAAAAATGCAAAACGATGATCCTAGGAAACAAATAAAAATAAAACACTGACCATTCAAATCCTTTCTTCTTTTAAAAAATCATAAACCAAACAAAGACAATTTCCTAGAGAAGAATTTCTTTGGAGAAGAAAAGCAAAATAGTCTGTGACCAAGATTCTCAGGGCTAACATGATTTGAATATAATTATGAAAAGTGGGAAAGAATGCACTTTGAGGCCAGACCAGAAAGCCTTCTAATCTCAGCTGTCACCTGGCCCTTCCCTAGCAAGTCACCACTTGATAAATTTTAAACAAAACAGAATTAAAACTAAGTGGGCCGGAGAGAAGAGCAGGAACATTAAAAAAAAAAAAAAAAATCCTGTTGATGATTATTTGAACAGAAAAAGAGAAGGATTTCATGTCAGTTTTCAAAAATAGAGGCTTCTCTTAAGTGTTTCAAAAATAAGACTGTTTCTGTTAGGGTGACCTAAAAAGGTACTGGCATTAGAGACAGACAAACTGCACTCCCATCCCAGGTGAAGGGATCCTTTCTAATACAAATCAACATTGACATTTATATGACCACAGAGTTTCACGAGTAACCAGGGGGCTGGTACCACTTCTCTCCCAGAGGAGGAGGACTTGGGGGGCTGTGGTAAACAAATACCTTCCATCCTACGGTAATTCTCTGCTGGCAGCTGGGGTGATCTATAAGACAAGACCCTTGGTCCTCAGCCTCCCTCTCTGAGAAACTGTTTTTTTTGGCAGATTTCCTGGCGTCCTATTAGAAATATCTCTCATGTGGTTCAGCAGTGGTGGGATGCGGTAGGAGAAAGCCACCCCACAATTTCCTTCTTTCATCTAGGCTTAGAAATGTGTTGCCTCATTTTTATCCAAAATGTGTTGGTTTTATTGGATGTCGAATTTATTCCTTCTTTCCTGTCGTAAAACTGAAATCGCCTCTTCCAGCCATAATTGGATGGGGAGCAGGGTCCCTGGCTTCTGGGCCAGAGTGCCGTAAGATTCTCAGGGGACTCAAATCACAAGTGGTGTCAGCTTCCAAGGAAGAGAGTGACAACTGGGAGAAGCTCCAAGTCTGTCTGTCTTTCTTTTCAAATGGGGAAAGAACTGTGTGACCCACAGTGAAATGTAACATTGGCCCAAATCCCTGTGGAAGTCCATGATTCTTTCTATTTTTGTCCCCCAGCTAAATGATCATACAGTCAGAACTAATTAATGAAAATCTCAACCATTAGACTATAGGACTATAGTTATATTTGTTTCACTCATCATTATATTTCTAGGGTGTGGCACAGGGCCTGGCACATAATAGATGCTCGAGAAAAAATTGCTGAACAGTTAAACAAATAATTTAAATATACTACTCACACTGTGTTTTGTGATTTTTTTTTTCTGCTTGTCTTTAAATCCTGAGATCTTTTGAGAAGTCCATTGGAGACAGGCAATAAACATGTGATGAATCAATGAATACATGAAGAAATGGGTAAGGTGGGATAGCATGCTGGGTACTTGAAAGCAGTGTAGTAAGTAAATGTCCTGTTACTTTTAGATCCCGTCCTCTGTCTCTACTCCTAAAATGACTTTAATTTTTTTCTTTTAAATGACAGGGTCTGGCTCTGTCACTCAGGCTGGAGTGCAGTGGTACCTATTATAGCTCACTGCAGTCAAATGGCTTTTGTGTGGTTATATCTCTCCTGGTTGCCATTAAAATATAGGTATTTACCTACAGTCAAATTGGCCATCCACTCTTTCATTAACATCTGTGTTCTCAAATCATCCATTATTGATCTACAGCCTGAATGTCTCCGCAGTGTGGTTAGCACACTAATCGGGTATTTGTTGAGTCTGACACAGTGAAAAACTGCACTTAGGTTTTACTTTTTTAATCCTAAAGCTCTTATCATTTTGCCATTTGGAAAATCCCTTTGAGAGGCTTTGGAGACTATACTTGGCTTTCTCCATATTCAGATTCAATTGGTGACCATGTTTTTAAAATTTATTGTGTTTTCAGATGTCATAGAAAGACATCTTGAAAGGAACCCTCAAGAATCCTGAAGAATTAGTGATTGAAAAGATTACTAAATTTAAGCTATCAGCAACCCTGTAAAGCATCTGCTGAGTGAACAGGAACTCTGAACTGTGAGCTTTGCTTTTCTATTTTTAACACAAAGACTGACATTTAGTCAAAAAAAAGGTACAAACACCGCCCCCGCCCACACACACCAATAATGTCATTGGTGAAAATGGGTCATTTCTAGTTGCAGCCAGTGTTTTCTTTGGTAATGTTTCTTCTAAGAACCACATTCTAAACTTCTAACCATTGCCAATTATTTCACTGAAATTGAGAATGGTTACATAAAGCCGGGGTTGCTCCTGCCTAACGATAAAGCAGATAAAAATCTCTGTGATTTACACAGGCAATTTCAGACACCAATACTTCTAGGAGCCCTGGAACAAGTGTATCCAGGACATTATCTGAGGAGATGATTTAAAGTGCTGTTGGGGACTCACTACTGTGGAAAATATGAAAAAGTATCAT